TGGGTGGTAGTAGACTGCAGTGAGGTGGGGGTTTGGAAGAGAAGGAGGCTAAATCTCTAACGTGAAATTTCAGCAAAGCAGAACCAACTACAGTATTGGTACAACTCTTGGCAAATACAAAGACTCTGAAATTATGTGTGTGTTTGGGAAATGGGGCAGGAGTATGACAGGGGAGGATGGGTGGGGAGCCATAAATTGCTAGACTATAAGGTGAGAAGGAAGATGGAACCAGAAAATGTCAAAGTTTGGACAGTTTGGTGTATCTAAGGGAGAAACCCAGGAAAGAATAGAGTGACTATGAAAAAGGTAAAGGGAAGTCAGAGCAGGGGAGAGAGAGAATACACAGCTTGGAGAGGACTGTAATTGCAGCAACATACCTGCCTACTAGGCCATACTGGCCATACTGATCATTCTTAGACCTACTACCCAGTAACACACAGGAGAGTAAAGAAACCAAGTCTGAGATATGCATATAAATCTACTTATTATGACATCTATATTGTCATCATTATTACTTCCTTTCTGCTCAGAAAGGATTTTGAAGGTTGGAGAGTTATTTACTATGGAGTTATTTACTATGGAGTAAACCATTTTTCAGGATTCACTGTGAAACCACACACACTCCTCCTACGAAAACCAGCTTAAACTAATAGGACTTCATTGAGCTCTGTAGAAGTCTTAAGGGCCATAGATAACTGGGATCATGCTCTTCACGTAAGAGTAACAAAACCAGCAAGGAACTGACTGTATCCCAATTCTGCTGAAGCATATGAGGCTTGTGAACACCCGTGCCTAGTGACACATCTGCTCAGCTGTGCCTAACCAGAAAAATCTCTGTGTAGGCTGTGGCTGAGTTAGCAAAAAGTGGGTTGAATTTATTTCTTAAAAAATTTTCATTATAGATTCAAATTCAAGATTGTCTGCAGAGTTCAACTGGACTAGTCTTATTTACACCATCTGCCATAATTCATTCTGTATATAATGTATGGTAGGAGATAAATAATTTAGACCATCGTAAATGTCCAATATTTACACTGGAGAATTAACTAATATTTGGACTTCCCACAAGCCAATTGCTGTTAATTTTTCAGCATTTTCTTCTTCAGTTTTTCAACTAGTCTCTATTGCTACAGTCTGTACAAAGGCTGACATTCCTACTTAAGATCATCTAGCTGAGTATTTCTTATACCCCCTACTGCCTTTTAAAAGACTTTGTCTAGACTTAGAAACACATGGTAACTGAGGTTGATTTATCCCAGTCTGGACAAGCTGAACACCTCTCAATCTCAAATTTGATCTCTTCCTGTCTGAATTTTCTTGGACTCATGATAACCCTTGCTCTGTAACCAAGATATCCATGTTAGAGTGCTAAATATCAGGACTCCACAATCTACCACATCTTTGCCAATGTTTGCTTAAACTTGTGTTTCACCAAAAGCCTGCAAAGGATTTTTCCTCAAAAGCTTTTTATTTTTGTGTATTTAAATATTTTTCTTCAGGAAGACAAAATTCCACCTCCTTCATAATAAATATAAGCTGATGCTTTTTTTTTTCCTGTCATGGACAGCCATATCTAGGAAAAAGTTGACTTCTAAAAAGTTACTTTGAACATATATAATCAGGTAACAACAATTTCATTAAAGGCCATTTAAAAATCTAGTGTTTATTATTAGCTTGTGTACTTCCTAATTGTTTTATAGGCTTTTTATTTTTATGGCAAGATTTCAATAACTACAAATCCATGGAACTTGATACATATACAAGCAAAGAAATGCATTTGCTAACTTTGTTTAAAGAGAAAATTGTCAGAAATGTCAGAGCATAATATTTCACAACAGAGAAAAAATAAGTTTGCTTTTAATGATGTGGTTCTTCTCTTGCTTGTTAATATATTAAAGAATACATTACCATATTTGTAGGGCAAAAGGGGAAAAGAGACTGCACTTAGAAAGTATAGGGCTGTGTAATGTCTGCAATGCCAAGAGATTAAAAGATAAAATCAATATATCAGTGTTCACTCAATGCATTTTCTTTTACAATTTTTCTTGCGGACACCAGAAATAGATTCTGATCTCAGTCAAATCCTGATCCTGGAAACACTATTCTGACACAAAACAAACCCCTAATTTAACTGTTTTTTAATGAATAGCAGCTTATAAAATGGGATTACTGAATGTAAACCTTTTTCTAAAGATTCTCTGGGACTACTCTGTGTACTTAATTAAGTAGCATCCTTATGTCTGAATTAATGAGTTAAATATGTAGAACCCTAATGGATACAGTAATGTCAACTAAAAAGGAATCAGCCCTGAGAATATGAAATGTTAATTCCATTAGTTCTTATTTCTGGAGAGCTTCTATATCTTGATATTATCCATTGCAATCTTGCAATGATTTCAAGAGGTAGGGAATGTCAGAAAGAAGCATTTCCTGCTGTTGTCTGGTTAAGAATTAAATACAAGTGTAACAAACACAAATATATCTTGCTCAACTTTAAATCAGGCATTTCTAGTCTGAAAGTCAAAAGCACAGGCAAAGGGAAAACAACGATACTACAGTTCCCTGCAGAATTCAACCCAAGGGGAATCAATTTGATTGTAAAGACCATGCTTTTAATCCACTGTTACCTGAGTGCCAGATGGTCATACCAAAGAATCAACACATTAAGCAGATGGACTTGGTATCTGATTCCCAATTACTAGAGTTGCTTCATGTGGAAGGTTACTTCTACTGATCAGAGAAAATTATTTGTCCCCAGATGGTGGCAAAAAATTGCTCACTCTGCTCTTTTAGTATTAAAGGTTCTCAATTATCTTTCAAAGCTAGGTAGTAGCATTGAAGATTTCATCCAAGGCTCATGGAAGGTATCTATTGAGACTGGTAGGTTTTGTGTCTAGCCTTAAAAGTATGCAATAAAAACTTAGGAACAAGAAGTTGTTAGTTATGCAAACCAGGTGATTAAGCTCTGACCTAATGTTGAACAAGAAAAAAATCATTGGACATACATACGAAAGCATAGGATGTAACAAACTACTGTGTGGGAAGTTGGCCAAAGCTTGTGGGGATGGATGGATTGCATGGGTGTTTGAAGAGGAGTTATGTGAGAGGCAGCCAAACTCCCCAAATACATAGACAGGAGTAGGACCTTTTGGGAAGCAGAGTCTTGCTTGGGCTACACATGGTGCACACATAGCAGCAGCAGTATGACTGGATAAGGCTGAGATTACATAGTTAACTATTCTAGAAATACAATATTTGAGTTCAGACTTGACAAAACTGGGCCCAATAAAAAGAAACAACTAGGTGCAGATTGGTTTTTTTTTGTGAAGAGAGAAAAGCAGAGAAAGAACCAGCAAAGAGGAGTGGAGAAGCAGAGGAATATGAAATAGGAATAAACTTGAAGCCCGGCCAGCTGGAGAGGAAAGCGTATGATAGGACCTTCAGTGCTACTGAAGTCCATGTCACATTACACTGATTCTATTTCTGCAGTTATTGGTAAGGTATGGTTCCCTGTTTGTGCGTATCTGAATGACCATCTGTGCGATTACACATTCAGCGCTGCTCATGGATGGACCCCCAAATGGGAAAAACAGCAGCCTTATATCCAGCAGTCCAGAAAAGGAGGAATCCTCAGGTCTCAAAGACCAGCAGATGTGTTTTTCTTTTAACAAAAGTGTCAAAAGTATTTAAAATAATCTTTGTAGATAATATAGGACAATAGAGCTGAAAACAATAGAGCTCTATGAAAAGCAATAAAGCTCCATTAAACCTTGTTCAGGCTTCTACAGACAACCATGCATTAGTTACCAGCTGTACGTAACTATTTAGTCAAAGCATCTATTTCAGTGACAATTCCCCATCAAAAGGATAAATGGAAGTATTGTTGTGATGGATTCAACAAGTTGGCTCTGTAGATATCTCTGCATCCAGAGGTTAGAAGCGGGTATTGTTCTCAACAGAGCACATGCCTTCCCAAAGCTGACAAAATCAAACCAGATTCCCAGTTCCCTTCCCCCCTTCTCATGTACTCAGGACATTTGCGTTGACTCATAGCCTGGAAATGAGAGACTATTATTCTTGATACCCAACTGTAAATAAATAAATATTATATATACATATTATATATATAAACTTACTATGTATTCTTTTGGGGTCAAACCAAAATGCACACTTTCGTGTCAAGTAATATGCATTTCCTTTGAAAATGGCATTCAGGCCAGCAGAAAACATTTGAGTTAACTGAAAATTATGCTTTCATTTTAGCATTTTTCCTCCATTTTATATGCCATCACTATTTTGCAATGGTTAACTACTGAAACAGAATTCCAGTTGAAAGAGAAAGAATCAAAAGACTAGCAGTGATCATTCATCTTTGGAGCTTTAAAGGTTTTTGTCTTCCAGTTTTGGACTATGGTTATTCATAGAGTAGAATAATAGATTCATTAATGTTGGAAAGGACCTCTAAGATCATTGAATCCAACCATTTACAATTTCCTCAAACTGAATCTTGTGAATAGTCTCAATTCCTCACAAACGATCACTGCCCACTCCCAAATCTCTCTCTAACCTCAAAAAAACCCACCCCCTACACCCCCTGTTTATCTGCAACTATCTGCAGGGCAAAAAGGATGGAAACTTCCATGGAGTTGTAAGGGGGTACTTTTGAATGAGATGATCAATGGAGCATAGAGGGTGATAAAGAAAATCCTATTAGGATGTGAAACCAGCTAGAGTATGGTACAATGTAACTTCATGGCACAAGCTAATTGTAAGGTCCATTGTGCTTTTTAGCAAGTCAGCCTGATATCCCCTATTATCAGAGCTGAGTTCTTCCTTGGTTTTGCTACATATTGCAAGATAGATACATCTACCCTTGAAACACAATAGTAGAGGTCATACATGGGGTGAGAAAGATGATGGTGGGAGGAAGATTATGTGGGCAGGGGTCGCTCGCCCCTTGCCCCACAAGGACATGTGCAGGCTGTTGCCATTAGGTAATGAACAGGCGGTGTTTGGCTGCCATTCAGGCATCACCTTATACTACGTACTGGCCCTAAGTAGTGTAATGTGGAACTGATAAAAATGGGGTGTCAGGACTGCTGAGTTGAGCGATACTCATCCTACCACCGAGACTGTGTTGCTCCGCGGGGACGCCCGCTAAGCATGGGTACCGACCAGCTGCTGCAGATCCTGGTAGCCCTGGCCTGTCTGTGTGGGTAAGCACAGTTTATTGATAGGAAGCAACCGAGAGAACTAACTTTTTAACCTTTTAATCCTTTCAGTGTCCCTTTAATTCCCCTTTATTATTGAATAAGTTGTTCCCTTTTAATATCATAGTATTTTTCCTTTAATTTCCCCTTTTACTAACCAATATCGTGTTATCCATAATATAGTGTTAAGATCCCTCTTTTGGCATCCCTTTTTACTAGTTAAGATTACACCGTATTGAATGCTGTTCGTAGTATTTGTTTTAAGAACACACGATAAGGTAGTTATTTTGTATTTCTTTAGTTTTTCTTTCTTTCACTAAGTTTATTGTTATTATTACTATTTTCACTTTAATAAAGATGTTTTGTGTGTATGAATATCTGTGCACTTGTTTTATTCCAGGCATGTATCCTAACGAACTGTTACAGGAGTGCAGATCATTTGACATCAGGCAGATGCACAACGCAATGCACATCATGATTTGAATTTTTTTATAAATAGTAATGAAATTTTACTTCCCAGGTGAACACTAAACTTGATCTAGTTTTAATTAAATCTAGCCTTTTGTTATTCAAACAGATCAGGTTTCCAAACTACAGCAACTTCCTGGACTGATATTTCTGTTCAGTGACCAGGTTTAGACACATAGGAACTGCTGCTCCTCCCTATCATAAGGGACTGCTTTAGTTTTATACTAATATGACCTTTGAAAGAAAAGAATAAAATAAGCTTTATGCCAGAAAGGGCTGGAGAAAGTCAATTCCCTGTGTAAATAAAGGGTAAAGACCAAGTTATTTAGTTCTTTTGAGGAACAGTTTGCATCTGTTTCAGGTACATCTGACAGCAGAGACAATTTTAAATGCAAGCACTTTACAACTTGACAGTGACATTAGTTATAAAATGCTGTAATAGAAACAGGACAACAGAATGGAAAATCTGAAAGGAAATTGCAGTGATCAAGAATGGAAGAAAAATATTTCTTTATTGCAAATATGCCTTTTCCTTGTCTAAATATCCTCTTGAAATTGTCTTAGCTCAGTAGCCAGTGCCCATTTGTTTGTATTAAAAGGGAGGTAATAAAGAATTTAAATAGTGATGATAATATTATTCTTCTTTAAATTTAAATTACCTTAGAGAAGAAGTAATGAAGACTTTTCTTACGCAGAGTAGTTGTCTGGGGAGGCAGTGAGGGTACAGGGCAATGCTACAGCTGCATGATAGGGATGGCATTTCTTTGCAGATTTACTGCACTGCATCTTAAGCAGATAAAGGAGAAATGCAAATGGCTTTGTAGGTGAACAGGTGAGACATGACATTGACCAGACACTTTAGAGATAGTTTACAAAAAGAGAGAGGAATGATATGACCTTCTCCTGACTCTCATGTTATTTATTCTATAGTGACGGGTTAATGATTATAGCAACCACCCCAGACTGGTTCAGGAATATCCGTGGCTCCTCAGACACTCACTTGAAATCACCCCCCTCTTAATATAATCATTCACCTCATCTCAGAGTGGCATAAGACTATGAGGTAGGCTTTGGAATAAATATGATAGGAACTTTATTGCTTATGTCTTCATTCCCAGGAAAACCTGACTTCTTGGGGAACAGAAGAAGCAACACTGGGAAGGTGAAGGAGATCAAGAGCTGATAAACAAAGGAAACGGAGGCAGGGAGAAGAAAATGAGTGGCAAATGGAAATATTTATAGTGGTTTTATAGCCTCCTGCTTCAGGGGGTAATTTTCTCTAGGGGTCTGGAAAGTGTCTTTGATGACTCCTGGAGTCAACCAGGGCTTAAAGTTGGGTCTGTCAACACCTCCTTCTTAAACAGGGGGCCCCAAAATGCCAAAGGGTCACGACAAATCTAGACCTAAGTTTTACAAGAATACGAAGGTCATCCTCAAATTTGGTAAAAGAGAGAAGCCACAGAATTTGTTTGGGAAAATGTAAAAGAGTTTGAAACATATTCCCTTTCTGTCAATCTCTCATGGAGAGGCCCCTTTCTTTCTACTTTCTCTCTACGAGCTCTGGGTTAAGATCCTTCTTGTTCTTTCTGTCACTTTGGCCCCTGGTTCTGTGTTTGCCCTAGTGGCTCCCCGTCCATGCAGCAGCCCATCTCTCTTTCTGGAGTCCAGCTGGGATGTGCTGCACATCTGATGTATCACCCAACACCTATATGCAGATACCCAAATCCTGCTCTTCCTTCAATGATTAAGTAATATGAATACAGCTTTTTCTTTCCCTGAATTTTCTCTACTCAGTTGATTACAGTTGAATAAAAAGAGTTTCTGCCTGTGGATTTTATTTTCTTTGTTCTTCTCATGTGTTTTTCTGAGAGTTAACACATTTTGAGAAAGTGCTGTTGCAGAACATGCCCAGAGCTGTGACCGTCTCTATACACTCGAATTTCACAGTTTGTAAGGCAGGAAGGACTTCTCCAGTTGTATATTCTACCTACATACTTAGGATAGGCCAGTAATTTGTACAGAAGAAACTGTATGTATAAACATCAATGCTTTATTTTAGAAAGCACTCATTAAAAATGAAAGTGCTATGGAAATATTAAGTGCAAATAAGAGCACATGCACATAAAATCAAACAAGGATTAAAAATCTTTCTCATTGTCTCCTGCATTGTCTGATGCAGCGGAACAAAAGGAAAAGTTTGAAATTTTCACTTTCTGGACTAAGATATTTGGTAGTGCTGACTGTCTAGCACCAAGAAGTCTCTTACCACAGGAGCAAAGCCTATCAGCACTGAATCATGACAGACAGTTTGGTAGTTTGTCCAAATTTAGATACGATTAAGATAATTATAAAGGATTTTCACCACTTTACATCTGGAAAAAAAGAAAAAAAACTGCATGGGCATATTCAAAACATTCACTGCCTTGAATATGCCCCAGCCAGAAAGAATTGCTAAATTCATTGTTACTAGGTTAGATTTCCTATCCATCACGGGCCACAAAATGTCACCTAGTGCACTTCTTATGGTCATCCATCGAGTAGTCCATATGTTGTTTGTGATGAATATAATCCATATAGAGTCCATCGCATAGGAGGAGAGTAGGACAATTTTATCTTCCTCATTTTTACCTGAGGTCAAAAGCACGTGATAATACTTTTGCTATACTGGAAGTACTATAACACTTATAAGGACAAAACTACCTGGTTTGACCTCTGTTCTTAAAGGAAGGTAATCACTGAGGATGCTTTAAAAGCCTGGATCTCTGTACACACCGTAGCATATAAAGAGTGCATGAAAAATCTCAAATGCCTCTTTCAGAATCTTTGTAGATGAACAGTCAGCCATAAGACAAGGACAATACTGGGAGTGAATTTTCTATGTAGTATGACTGCAAGTTGCTTGTATGGTGGTTCAAAATCCTTATCAGATTTTTTTTTTTTAATTTCAAGCCTCTCCTTAAAAGAAAAATCACAGCAACAACATGCAGTTTCACGTCACATGGATGAACTGTTTAAAAGTAATTAGAAAGACATCAGTTCCTTTCATATTCATGGGGAGTGCTCCAAGCTCTGAAATAGCTTGGAGGTAGACAGAGGGACTATAGCAGGCCCAGGCTTCAGGGCTTGTATATAAATATTGAGATTAACACGTCTTCTTCCCACCCTCTGTGAATTTATGCTTCCCATAGTTCAGTTCATAAATTTTCTTGCTGATAAAGATGCTGTTACAGTGCTGGATTGGAAAGAGGGGAAGAATTCAATTGCCTAAATACTGAAGTGGTGCTTTAGACATGCCAGGTTATCCAAAACATTCCCATGGAGCTGGCAGATATGACTGAGCAATTTCTGGAACAGCAACTCAAGACCAAATGAAACATCCTAGGGAATTTTCTAAAATACTAGGCAACTAAGTTTAATCAACAGAATGCCATCCTGTGGGACATGGGTGAGAAAGATGCAAAATGATTTATCAGGCATGCCTCGAATGTTGCACCAGCTTTGACTACCTGCAAAACTTAACACTTTTTTTTGGAACATATTTGATACTGAAAAGATATAAGATTTTTTTTCCTTTTTATGTCATCTGGAAAATAAAGGCCGAAATATATTCTTGATGGAAGAGACACTCTCCTCTGGGAGAGTTTAGGAATTAATTTGTCCTCTGAAGGGTGTCAAGGACGTCAATATTACCAAACAAAATGCTGTAGGCAATACCAACAATGAAATTGTGTGAATTTAAGACTTATATTTCACCAAGGTTCCCTAAAAAAAATGGGATTGCATAAAGTATGCATCTCCTCTTAAAGTGAAGACTTTGAAAGAGTGAGTGCTGAAGAACTTAATTCATAATTGTTTTTGTGCATTTCAGGCAAAGTTACTGACTTATTTTTTCTTTCAATTAAATGAATTAATTTTAGTTACTCTCTCTTCTCTACATCCTTTCCGTGTGTCCCAGGAATACATCTCAGTAATTTCAGAAAAAAAATATCTTCCAAGAAAACATTGGGAGGCAGGAGTGCTTCACTGGTATTAAAAAAACAATTCTATGAAAATTGATTGGATGGCTGATTAGATTTTTCCGAAATTGGTGGTAACTACAATGTTTACCTGGTAGTAATGCACCCACACCATCTGAGGGCAACAGGTGCAACAATAAGCTATTAGTTGACAGATTGTAGGTAGTTGTATTAAAGAGATTGCTTTTGCTATTAAAGATGGTTTTTTTATAAAATTGTCCTCTGTGTATATATAAATCCAAGTAAAATTAAATGTTTCAGACAGAAAAATCATCTCCATTTAACAACTTGATTAATTATATTTTGGTAAAGGACCAACACAGTGAGAACAACATCTTTTTACCCCTCTCATCTCTACTTGTTTTTGACTACAACCAAAGGCACTGACAGAATAGAAAGTTCAATTTTATTTTTCTTTCCCCTTCTAATACTTCTTGCCAGTTGTAAAGGTAAAAAAGATATAAGATTAAAAGAAACTACTAAATGACTGTTGATAATGTACCATTTAGTGAATAAAACACCTTCTTAGAACAAGCATGTATCCAGCACTGTTACTGAGATTTTTTTTATACTTTTAAAATGTTATTTAGCACCTAAGGAATACCAAATAGCTTCTTACATTCCTTTGTATCATCTTTATAACACAGATCAAGCCTGTATATGGCACTAGGAGGCAATATATTCAGATTTCCCAAACAATCATTTTTTTGTTAGAAACTCATTCATTCTGTTCACTATGAAAAGGCATTATATAGCAATTTATCAGTTTTGTTTTTAAATACACAGAATGGCCAAATATTCAATGTTATGGCAGAATTCAGTAATAGGTACTGTGCAGTTGACCTGCACATGCACAACAATTTCATTTACAGTATTAAAAAATGGTTGAGTAGGAAGGGACCTTAAAGATCATCTAATTCCAACCTGCTATAGACAGAGGCACCCTCCACAAGACCAGGTTACTCAGAGCCCCATCGAACAGGGCCTTGAACACTTCCAGGGATGTCACAGCTACATACTGTCACAGTGCCATGGTGCCACAGCACCCTCACAGGGAAGAATTTCTTCCTAATATCTAATATAAATCTACTGTCTTTTGGTTTTAGCCCCTTTGTCCTATCATTACATGTTATTATGACATATGACATGCTTGTTGTCAGACATGGGATTTTTCCACTTTTCCCAGGTGCAAAATATGATCCTTTGTAAGAATAATCTACAGATTTATTCGACAGATTTAACACGTACCACTTTTAGAGACTTATGTCCTCAGTCCACATGGTATAGTGCAAGGTGCAAGCTTTTGCATGATCTTTTAATTTATGGGCAGGAGAGAATGATGGCATGTCCAGGTTAGCAAATAATGTCATCAGCAGTATGTTGATAGTTTTGATACAGGGCCACTAAGAACTGAATCATAATGGCAAATGATTTCATTCTAGTTGGTACTTAGTAACAGCTTACATGTGCTAAACAAAATTTGAATAGATGACCGTGCAGCATGAGCCTTTTTTTTTGTCTGTCCTAAACCTCATCCTAATCAGAAACTGGAAACATTTCCTGCTTCATATTTTTGTTCCCACAGCAGAAATACTCAATGTCCATCTGTAAGATTTCCACAGTATAAACTCACTTAATTACTTCTCAATAAGAAATCACTACCCTTGGAGGTTAATGAAATGTTTTACAGACCAAAATTGCAGGTGTTCCTTTCTATAGGAAGACAGAAAGCATTGTAAAAAAAAATTACAATATACTTCGGATATAGCGAACAATTTGTTTTGCATGGTTGAAGATAGATAAAAGACTGAGACTTCTGTCATCTGTATCTACCTGAGGTGTGTCTACCACCTTAGCTGGTTACTGGGGTTCCCTTTTTTGTCACTGGAGAGAGGTATATCTTTGCTGTGATTCATCTGACCTTTTTTTGATGCATGTGATGAGATGAATTGCACCTTTGGGGTGTCCATATGCTGTGAAATGAGCCCGATGTCACCAGGCAGGTGGATACACCTGCATTCTGAGTGTCTGCCTCAGACATGTGAATTCCTCCTTTTGTAATAACTTAATTTGCTGATGGCCCTGTTTCTTAATCCACTATGGGGTCTCAAGTGTCACAACTGACCCAAGACTACTATAATAGATAGATTTGTCTGAAGATAAAGAGGAACAAGTCTTCTTTTATTTCCTTTTCATCATTCTTTAGTGTCAGATTTGCATGTTCAGTTTTTCCCCTTTGTTTTATTTTCCCTGGAGTCTTCAGAGGTAAGGGCTGCCCCTCCTGCTTTTGTTAACCTGATGCCAAAATTTGAGCCGAAGATTTTAAAAATACATTTAATAAATGATTTTTTGAAATTTCACTTTCTAAAGAAAAAGCTCTGGACTAAGAGTGGGAAGATGTGGATTCGTATCCTTCAGGCTTTCTTTTGCCTGATGGGAATTTCAGCACAGTGGAAGGAGATGTTTCCTTTTTGCTTGATTCTGCAATAAGCACATCAGAAACAAAATAAAAAGCAAAAGCCCAGAGGCAAAGCTGCTTGAATAATGCAATTTATCTGGATACAGATCTTAGAATTGGTGCTGGAATCTCTTCTAAATGGTCAGAGCCACTGACTTGAGTTGTCCGAAGCATCCTAGAGATGGTAGAATGACAGTAAAAAGAGACAATTTTGTCTTCTAAAGAATTTGATTCTGATTTATACATTATGTGGCTTAAAAAAGCTTAAGAATTACCATATTTTCTTTTTAATTTAAATTTCTCTTTATATAAATTTCTAGCATGAAAAAAAGAACCAAAAAGAACGAAAAAGAACCAAAAAAAAGAAGAAAAATACACTTTATTTTAAGGGGCTATATAGACATATAAATTTTTTTGTTGAAAATTAGAATTTTTATGTGTTTAGATTTTTCATCCAAAAAGAGGTTTTCGGGATTTTGCTCTTACATACAGACTGGAAGTTTCAATGCAAACATCTCTGAATACGTCTATTCTTAAGATTTTGGAGCATAGCTTTTGATGGTACCAAAGAGATCTGTCACTTCTGAAAGGTTCAATCCTCATCTCTACAGCAAAAATCAGGAAAACTTATTCAAATTACATAACTATGTGGATGTAAAGTGCTTTAAAGTAAGCTAAATCATATACACATTGATTTCCTAATATTACGTATTTACATTGCTTCATTAAACCATTACAAACTAATTTGGAATTAATTTCCTGCAATCTCCCATGCTGACAAATTCTTACGGAAGGAGGCAATTGCTTCTCTTTGAGTTGTCATGTATCTAATCTCTCTGCCTAGATATTTAGCATGCACTCATTTGTGACAGATTAAAAATCTTAAAAAGATACATGGACAAAAGCGGTGAAGATATGACTTTTATCTGCCTGTGCCATGCATAAAAGTATTACTCCAGTGCTCGCCACAATTAACAAGTAAATACTTGTTAAGTCCTGTGGTGAGATAGCATAGCCATGGATCACCTTTGCCCATGCTCTAAGCTGCAAAGCATATGAAGTGTAAGTGTTTAAAAAACAGCTGGATGTGGCACTTGGTGCTATGATTTAGTTGACATGGTGGTGTTCAGACAAAGGTTGGACTCGGTGTTCTTAGAGGTCTTTTGCAACCTTAATGATTCTGTGACTGTAAAGATCATTTAAAAGAACTGTCCCAGAGTCTGTCCTACACAAAGTTGAGGGTGAGAGTGGTGAGGCACTGGAACAGGTCGCCTGAAGAAACTGTGAATGTCCCATCCCCGGAAGTTTTCAAGGCCAGGTTGAATGGGGCTTTGAGCAACTTGGTCTAGAGGAAGGTGTTTCTGCCCATAGCAGGGGGGTTGGAACAAGACAGTCTTTAAGGTCCCTTCCAATCCATTCTGTGATTCTATAGTTCCATGAACTGAATATAAGCCATGGAAAACCTCCGGCTCTGCTGATGCACCGTTTTTCCTGTGACCACTTCTTTGCGCAATAGTAATTAATAATAGTAATTATTTATTACTAATGACTACTATTAATTTATTAATAGTAATTAAATATTGGAGGTGACATTGGAAAGAGCATTGCTTACTGTTGCACCTGGCAAAGTATAATAATTTCTTTCGTTTTCTTTTACTTCCCAGAAGACACCTCTGCCTGAGGAAGGCAGGGTACCATTGCCCTGTTCTTCTGAAAAGTTATGCCTCACAGACTCAAAATTTAACAGCATCAACTCAACATTTAACAAAAGTAGTGGTGCAAGCAGTATTTTGACTACTCATCTGGTGTTCTCTAAATGGAAGAGGATTCTTCTGTGCTGCCCTTTTTTCTTCTTGATGAAGGGAGAGTCAGTCTTGGTGCTTCTGAGGACAAGCAGCAAAAACCAGTTTCCTTCTTCTGTGTCATTGTTTCTTAGGCAAAATGTGCAATTTTGACATAATAGGTAATTTATTTTTCTCATTGCCAAGAAGAATGAACACATCAATGGATTGCTTTTCTAGTATTGCCTCTGCAAAGGTACATGTAAGTGTTGATTTGCACCATCCCTGAGCAGAACAAGGTATAGCATCATCAGGAACATTGTAATTTTGGAGCTCCCTGTGCCTTTGGTACCAGCAACTGGAGAAAGTGCAAGTGCATATGGCGGTGTGTCATCACCAGTAAATATCAAGCCAGGCTAACTAGCAAGTAGGGTGGTAATAAGCTGGTGAGTTTTGTATGCAACTGGGAATGAAACAGCTGAGAGTGATGGGACCTGGCACAGTCTGCCCAGAGAAGCTGTGGATACCCAATCCCTGGAAGTGTTCAAGGCCAAGTTGAATGGGCTCTGAGCAACCTGGTCTAGTGTAAAGTGTCCCATGGCAAAAGGGTTGGAACTAGATGATCTTTAAGGTCCCTTCCAACCCAAACCATTCTATGATTCCATGATTCCATTCTATGACTTGGCTACTGGGGGATTAGGGGCTAGGCCACTTCTGAAGAGACAGTAGCATTTAGGAGTTGACTGAGGTTTGTGTGTGTATGTCACTAGGGGGGGCAAGTGGGAAACTGGTGATCCAGTGGCAGCTACCAGGCAGACTGAGTCCACTAACTGAATGGATACACAATATCACATAAATCACATAAAGATTTTTTCCAACTAATGGACTTTCCTCCTGCTAGAGAACAGAATGACGCCATTGATGTTGTTTGTGTTCATGAGTTTGCCTGAGTGTGCTGTTCCATGTGGTCAAGCATGTGCCTATTGGGAACACATGCCCAGACTTGCTCACGATTGGACCTGGGGACATGAAGGTCCAGCTCCTCACCTTAGTAAGGTTTTCATTTCACCACCCTCTGAGTACACACATAAATTTGGATGAAATGAGCATCCAGAGTGAACTTTTCCTTGTGTCAATACTTCTCCCTTGTGTCTGACATGTAATTCTCAAAAGCAGAATGAGTCTACTGTATTTACTATGACTTTGACTGAAGCAGTGATGATGTTTCCTAGGATGTCTCTCCCTCCTATCAGACGTGTGCTTGCAGAGGCAGAGCAGAGAGGGAATGTTAAACATTTTTCAAGCTTTCAGAAACTGCCTTGGACACCACATCCCGTTCTCCTTGCAGCATATATAAACTTTTTTTTTACCCTTCATTGGCTCTGATGAGTCTCAATTCTTTTGACTGTTCTTTTCATATATCCTCCAAAGGACCTTTCTTATTCTGGTTTGGCTCAGATCTAGAGCTCGGTATCCAACCTCCTTTAGCCCTCTTCCAGACATGTAAGAGAGAGGTTTGTCCCTATCAGACAGCCTCTTTGGCTCACAGGAGCCCTCCAAAATCTTCCATAAAGCTCTACCTTCTTGTAAATCAATCCTTTATGAAGGTCTTTATTATTGAGCCTTCTGAGAAAGAAAAAACCCTCAAGAAATTGGCCATTGCTTATCAGACTGACCAAGAAATAAAATGTTTTCTTATGTTTTTGTGTTGTCCTGTCTCTTTGCATGAGGCTGTTTTCTCTTGCCTTACACTTTACATACAAGCTCTCAGAGACAGAGACTGTCATTTTAATCTGTATTTTTCAGTGCTTAGCACAATAGTTCGTGACGAGGCCTCTAGGCATTACACGAATATAAACAGCAGTAACAAAATAAATATGATGGCTATTCCTAAGATGTGGCTTTCTAAAAACTACCTGGTCATTTCACTTGTCTGAACCTTTATTCATTCAAGGTCAAAGAGGTGAAAGAGCAGAGTTTTCTCAGTAAAATCTCTCAACCTTTCCTAACCCAAGTAATTTTTGCAAGTGCCTTTTATTGTTACTTATACATTACAGTTCCGCACAGTTAAAAAATATCGTAGAAGCTACAGTTATTATAGTTATTAACATTTTATGGCCTTGTTATTCATACCTTAAGCTCCTTAAAATGAAGTGGTGCATTTTAAGAGAACAGCATGTATTTAATTGATTCCGCTGTTAAAAGGTTGTCCTACTTCAGCAGTTTTCAGTCTTTTTCCTTGGGTTTTGCTTCCATTAATAAGGACAATATCAATTTTATCTCTTTAAGAGAAGTGATACGAAGCAGTTCAAATTTTCTTACTGTGCTGTATGCCTGTTCTTGGTTTAAACATTTATCCCTCTTTCACATTCAAAGTCTGTGTAAAGATTTGCAGTGTTCTGAGCTACCTATTCATGCATTTATCTACCTCTGTTTTGGAGTATAATGTCATGGATTCATTGGCAGTGTAATTGTTCTTGAATTATACACGTTTCCTATGGTGTAAGTACATATCCTTGGAGAGCTACCAGGAAGTTGCTGATGTTCATGAGAGAAGTTTATCTCACCCAACTTTTAAATGCCCGCAGAGTAGATACTCATATCTACAGTGATTTCTTTAGAATCTGCTTCCAATTGCTATAGAGAAACAGGACTGCTCACTTCAACAACCTCAGGAATATAGGGTACCTTAAGATCAGCCTCCTTCTAGACATGCCCTGTTTTCCCCTTTGTTATTTTGGGAATCCTAGAGTAAAATAGTTGAGGAGACAAGCCATGATCCCGCTTAGATCTTGTGTGGTGGCAGCTTCTTTGTATGACAAAATTTCTCTGCGTTGAAACCCAAACTGTAAATGTTTATTAAATATTTCCCTTGAATTTTACACATCTTCTTTACCAAGAGACATAGACAACCTTAATCTAAGTGCTTACATAGATTCAAACCCAGGGATCTTTATTCACCACAGAGGATTGTAATCATTGGAACATTAAACTAAACCATTCTGGTCACTCAGGAGTACTGAATAGCAGCTTCCTTATCTTTTCTGACCGAAAGGACTTCAGACACCTGCATTCGGACAATGGAAGCTTATATTTCTATGAGATCAGGAAGGTCAAAACCAAAGAGAATGAAAAAAACCATAGGCAATTGAATTATAGAGCAGTGATAAAGTCAAAGAAGTATATGTTCACTTTATCTTTCCCAGACTGCTTGAGTCATTACAATTTTGATACTTCAGTGTACTGGCAAAGATTGATGGAATAGGAAATGGCTACTCATATATTCATTGTTATAAAAGAGGGGAATGAGAAAGGAAAGCAGCATGAATGTAAACCATTCTTCTCTAAAACACATACCCATACACCTGGCATATTTCTGCTTCATTGGCACCATCTACTGTGAACAAAGCCAGGAGCTGAATGTGGTATGGCTGTTGCCAAACATACTGAAACCAGCGGAGGTGTATTGTACCTTATGCAACACAGGGAGCATGTCAGGACAGTGTCTAGAAGGTCATGTAACATCTGCCTATATATTCCAGTTGATCTGAAACCCCTAAATATGCTCAAAGATTTAAAAGACATGTAGATGTGGACTTGATATGCGTTAGTGGTAGACTTGACGCTGCTGGGTTAATAGTTGTGCTTGATGATATTAAAGATCCTTTCCAATCTAATCTATTCTATCATTCTAAATGCACCATTTTTGCAATAGATAATGCATTGTATTATTCATACAGTTGTATTTTTCAAGAAAGTTAAATAATGAAGCATTATTTTACTACTTCTTCTCTTTCCCTTAAAAGAAAATGAAATTATTAACTTCAACGGGAATATTAGATATTTTCCTTTTTCTTCTTCAAGGGTATTACATGAGCACATGAGGATCAAAGAAGAGAGCTGCTAGGAAGAAAAGTGTCTGCCAAATACTGTTGAGCAATGTATTAACATTATTCAAATTCCTTTTAAAGAACAGTCCTTCCCCCCACAGTTTCTTCTTGACAGGTGTCAGTTGATGAAGAGATGTGTGCGGGGGTGGGTGTTCTTATCTAAAAGGATTTTAAATAATGCTAGTGACATTATTTGAATCAAAATTACTGCCTAAGTAATGTTATAAGCAGTTTTGTCTTTTAAAGGGCATTCAATTATGTTACATTTCTTAGTAGCCCTACCTTTCATACTCCCTTCCCCACCATGTGGGACTTGTGTATTTGCATTTTCCTGAGTATAAGATGCCATAATGGCACAAGATCAGTGACTGTTATTACATTGAACATTTCACAAACGTTGGTCTATGAAGAGACCAGTGAGCTTCAAAGGTTTGAAGTGTTGACTTGGTTTGCCATGAACTTGTGGCAGTTCAGCAATTCTGTAGCAGTGGAGAGATCAGGGTCCTGAGATGGTACGTATGAGTGATTGGGTTTGCTTTGTTCCTTAAGAACAGCTGAGGAACAGGAGTGGATTTCTATCAGAGAATTTTGAGTGAACTTAAGAACACCATAGTTATGCTCTGTGCCCTTTCTCCCCCTGTGATTCTCTCTGATCTATTAAAAAAAAAGAAAAATTGTAATTTTCAGCCTCTTGGAGTGAGTGGCACTTTTCAAAGAAAAACTAACATGTTTTTTCCTTACACTTGCTCTAAAATTAGGAATAATAAACGTGTGATACATTCATTGAATTTATTTGTGCATATCTTGAGATGTCAGCAAAGAGGCTGGCATAGTTTTACAGAGTGGCAGATGATATGTTTGAGGAGAAGTTTATGTTCTAATAACTGCTCTAAACTAGATGCTCTTGTTGATAAACACGAGAATTGTGTTATACTCAATACTTTACAAAAAAATTACACACGAAAGGGGGAAACTAAGAATAAGATTTCTTTCAATTCTATGTCTGATTCTGCTGGTAGCTCACTATAGAGTAGATCATCATAGAAATGTTTAGCTTGTTTCCATAGTGTCTGTGAACTGATGCAGCAGCGTTAGAGGTGCTTGGAAGAAGACCCCAAAGTAAGATTAAAATATCTTTCCTAATAAAGAAAAGAAAAAAAAAAAGATAAAAACGAAGTGCTGTGGAATTGGATTTTTCAGAAATTATTCATGTATATAAAGGGGGGAAAAAAAGCAGCATTAAATAGTCCTAAGTGGAAAGAGTATCAGTAGAGTATAGGGTTGCTAGATAATACTTACCAACTTACATGCAAAGCATATAAGCATATAACTGTAATGGCTCATGACTGAAAACAGTTGTTTTCTAAATATTTGAGAAATGTTGGTATAAGTAGATATAACTTAGAAAAAAATCGAAAGTTAAATAAAATTCTTACTCAATAATAAAAATTCAGACAAACACTGAAAATCTAAGATGCTACAAAAAAAATTACCTAGTAAAGTTCCGTCTTCATATAAGTCGGAT